TTGACTCCTTTCGTTTTGCGAAAAAGCGAGTAGTCGATTCCTTCTTTTATTTTGTCAGACAAACATTTATGAAAACATTTTGCTTTACTTAGGATCACATTATGTTTGAAAACCACAGATCAAAAATATTTTGAAATAAATTTTATATATGAAGATATTCTCTAATTTTATTAGTTTAAAATTTACTCTTTATAATTGATTTTATAATAGAAAACCACAATTTTTTACAAAATTTTTGCTGGACATTTGAAAATATTAAGTAACACTTAAAATATGCAAAGTTAAATATTTTTTTAACTATTATATTAAATATTTATAACATATTTTTTTAGTTGCACGTCAATTTAGTGTTCGATAATTAATTTAAAGACAGTGACACTAGAAAATTTAACACAGAATTATCATTTTTTATTTGCTAACAATATTTTACTTGTTCCGAGAAACCTTTAATAATGTTAATGATTTTTATTTATCGAATTATATTCCGTATCGATTTGGAACCGATCGATGCATGGATACGTCTATGTAAATAAACATAGGAGAAGGTATTGAAAGAGAGGTCTTCTCCCTCACGCGTTGCACTCGGAATAGGTAGGTAGACGCATATACCGTCATTTTAAACCACGTGGGTCCGCCTATTCCCTTACGTCTTGTATCCTCCTTTATGCCGCTATCTATTCATAGACGAGAAAGCAAGCTGTCACGATGACGGACGTCGAAAGACAAAGGAGATGCGGAAAGAGGAAGGCGTGTCGTTGGATTTTTGAAGATTGCCTCGTTTCTCCATTTGTTATACAGTAAAAGTAAATCTTTCGAACTATCGAAAAAGATCGCGACATCAGATTCGTCGATAAATTTGAAATCGTTTTTTCGTGAAGAGTCGCGACTGTCAAATTTTTCTCTCTTTCAAATTTGAATTGATTTATCTTCCAATTAATCGCAAAAATTATTACTAAATTCGATACATGTATATATTGCAAACGCCTTATAAATTTCTTTTTATATCTTTTTATAAAAAACCCAGATCTTTTATAAAACGCTATTCTAAAAAGATTTGGTACATTGTAAAAAGTTTTTATTATAGTACAATAAGTACGGAACACCCCTATACATATAATTCCTTTATTTCTTAAATTAGGATCAATAGTTTTACTCGCATTAAAAATAGTTTTTCCGCATTGAAATACGCTCTTATCGTGGCGCACGTCACTAGAGGGAAAGCAGAGAGGATAAATCGATCATTCGCGACGCTATCGCGATCGTTTTCGCAACGTCAGTCCCGGAGTCTCGATCCTGGCGTACAGGACCAGCTGCTGGGATATCACCAAGTCGTAGGCGAGGTCGTCGACCTTGCTGCCAGTCTCTACCGTTCCCTGTCGTCCGGTGCGGTCCACGACGACCACTCGCGTAACAGCCTGCGTTCGTGTCTGTCGTATTATACACCTGGATCACTGTACACAAGGTGTCTATGATCAACCGCGCATTTTCTCCTCTGACCCTAGATCTCACGCAAGCGAACGTAGCGTTTGTTTGAACAAATGTGATACGGGTGTTCGTGAATGGAAAATAATTATGATAAATAGTCACGATGAATTATTTTGGTGCGATCAGGATGGTAATATTATACGAAGATATCTTGGTTATTTTTACTGTATATACGATTATCGATTTAGTTATATATCGCTTTAATGTAATATGTTACAGTTTTTTTTTTATGCAGATTATCGTTAATCCTTAAAATATTATAAATGAATATTATATTCTCTTTTACCTTTTACTCTTTATCTAATATAATTTATTTAAATATGGGAAGAGATAAGAAAGAACTTTTCACACTTAGATAAAATATATTTAGCGATTGAAAAACTTGACAAAATTTATTTAGAAAGTGCTTTGAGAAAATTAATCGAAATGAATATTCAGGAAATCTTACATGCACGTTACGTAAGAGTGACAGCCTTTAAGACATAAAGGACATTTAACCGGCGACATCCTGTATATTAGCAGAACCCGGAGGTCATACGTAAAACGGTGAACGATGTCGCATGGCACGGGAGGCGGCACCCCGTTCAAACTCGTTTGCACGCTCTGCTCCGCCGAATGGTTTATACCGATCGGTCCATTGTGTTACCTCGTGTATCACGCAACGCCGACTTTCGGATTGCGTCGTCGTTCTGTGTGTGGTCCACACGCCGGACATAAAGTTTTACGAGTTTAGCCAGCGGGATAACGCGTCTTTTATACTTGGTTTCGGGGATAAAATATAAGCTAAATACAAAATCCTGTCTCTCTTTCTCGGATGTACATACATTGTACGCGTGTATACGCATAAATAGGTTACGTAGGATAGATAGGTAGGTGCAGTCGAACGACTCCGAATACAAAATAGCAATGGATCTCGATACGTTACGCGGGATACCGGGTATAAAGACTAATGGCGTAGTCATAAATGTCCGCGTTGCGACGAGAGTAAAGTAAACGTCGCGCGCGCAACGGCATTCTTAGATAGGCGAATAGAAATGCGGATGGATAGATGAACGTGTTACTCTGCTACTCGGAGATCCGAGCAGCAGATACAGTCGGATGCTGCGAGAGGGAAATAACGGGTGGTGGATTCGTAATACGTGTTGCAAGATACGGAGAATACGGAGAGGATATAGTCGGAGAATTAATATACATCGACACGTGGTCTCGTAAACAAACGATAAAGAAATGATTATGGCACGGCGATAGCGAAAACGGAGACGCGATTAGATTGCGGGAACAAAGAATACAGTGATTGCTCTAATCGGCCAGTTTACATTCTAGGAATGGACAAATGTTGTCTATTGCACTGAAAATTCCAGGAGATTCGAAATGACGCAGTTTTAAAGCTCGTTATTAATCAGTAGCGATACTCAGTCACGAATGATTTATGAATCTCGAATGGATTGATAGAGATTAGAAATTAACTCTCCAAGTGTCTGCTTCATCATTGATCTCTATTCTAAGAATAAGATAATATAAATAGTATAGGGAAATGTAGAATATTATTGTATAAAGAAATAAATTCAATTTGAAAATAAATGTATAGCAAGATAGTACTTAATCTCTATTTTTAATGAATAAATAAATATTTCTTCTTTTACGTGAAATACTATCTTATCTTTAGAGAAGAGGAGAGAAGTTTGAAATAATAAATCGCGTTCTGTGGCGGGTAAATCACATCGATATATATAAATAATCGTGTGTGTACTTTTACTTTGTATCTCGCACCGGTTCACATGATAGACAGATCTACAAGAACACGGTTTCCACGTGACATTAGCATTTAAAGCGCTGAACTCATAGTCTAACAAATTATCATGCGTACACATACTACATACATTTATCAGTTTAATTAGCTAGATACTTCTTACTTGCCGTGTAAACGTCATTTCCAAAATAATCATATCTATTCCTTAGATATTCACTAAGTTCATTCATCATCGCGTGAGCGCGATAAATTCTCAGATACATATTCGATAACTTACCAACTTCTGACCATCGACGTTCGCTCGATTTGCAAGAATTCGCTAAACATGTTTCATCAAGTAAATCGTAAAATATCGCGTGGTCGATTTAAATTTAAATTTGTTATAACATAGTCGCGGAACTCGTCTATCAATGTTGCATTAATACTCTATTTATCATGTTGTCAATAAAGACGGCTCTCTGACGATATTTAAATAAAGATATACTAGGCCACATGCTGCTTTGGGGACTCGTCAAAAAATTGCAGAACTAGGCTGGGGAATTCTGTCGCATCCACCATATTCCCCGGACTTAGCACCCTCCGACTATCACTTGTTTTTGTCTTTACAAAATTTTTTGAGGGGCAAAAAATTCAAAAATGAAGAAGATATCAAACAAGCACTGGTTCAATTTTTCGTATCAAAAGATAAAACATTTTTCGAAAATGGGATATACAAATTGCCCTCACGCTGGCAAGAAATCATTAATAATAATTGCAATTACATTATTTAATAAAGTTTATTGACGGTAATAAAAATTTGTATTTTGTTTTATTCCAAAAACGGACAGAACTTTCTGGTAGACCTGATATAAAGAAGTTTATTGTTATTATCTTATAAATGTGTAATGAGATGATTTTATGCGATAGCAGCGTATTTGCCAATTAATCTTGAGGTGAATTTAATGGCTGCGCGGCAAATCACAATAAAACTTTCAAGCAATCCTCGCATATTTACCCGCTTTCGTATAGAGAATTTTTTTGTTATAACTTTCTAGCTGATTCAATTTCTCGAATTTATTTGATTTTATTAATCTCGAGCTCAGTCTCTTAAATCGCAACGCGCGGCAATTTAATCGCCATGCACGACCCGCGGGCTTAATCGTCGCGATACGATTCGCGTTAACGGTAAACGAGACGAGAGGCGAAAATAATCTCGAGGCTCTTTCCGGGCCTCCGATTGAACGAGCCATTGGTGGTTTAATCACGTGACGTATACGATGAGGTATACGATTCTAGCTAGGACGGTACCAGTAATGCAGTCGTCGTTCGTGGATTGCTCGAAACAGTCGATCGATCTTAATCGCGCCATCGGTAACCGCGCGCGGTTTATCTCCGCTCAATTAATTGCAACGTGTCTGCCCGTTCGTGGAAAATGTTCAAGGCTGTTCATCGGACGCGGCACGAGTACGCAAATGTCAAGGAAATGGACGAAGACGAAGAATCTGCTACTCTCTCTCTATATATACTTGCGCACATTATCTTTCTCTCTCTCTCTCTCTCTCTCTCTCTCTCTTTTTCTCTGTCCACTTTGCCTTTTTTCCACACTTGTCCTACCATTAGTCAGGCTTTCTCATCGATCCCGGTAAAGCGCGTGTTACCCGAGATGCCATCGCTTCGCGTCCTAATTAGAATCACTCGATAATCGGTTCCGGCTCGATGCCAGCATCTGACCCGCGAAAGGACACGATGTAAAAATAAAAAAAAATCGATTCTTTTCATGTTGCAGGAGCGGGGATCGCACGCGGCCAATATGGAGCGATGGATCGTGTACATGGTGATGCTGCAGATCTTCGCTGTCGTCGCTCGAGCCGTCGAAGATTTTCGGCACATCTCGTACGAAGGTAAGAACTGATGGAAAATATTATATTCAAATGCGCGATAAAAATATATATCTCTTCTAACATTTATTACGATATCGGAGGATTTATTTATTAGGAAATTTTGTTTACTATTCGTTATCTTTGAATTGTACTCCTAATCGTATTCGCGGAAGACTTTTATCTCACGATTTAACCGAATTGGTTACCGCATATAAAATCCGATAGCTGTAATCGTTACAGAGTAGCTCGTTGAGTTTTTGCGCGTAATTCGAGCGAGAATCACAATCTCGAATCTCGCGTACATCGTTCCGGATACGATAACCGTCCGATGTTGATAATTTCGCGATCCCGTTAATTGCTTTATCGCGATTAATTCGAGTAATAGATGATAAAACGTGCACATGAGGACGACGAAGCGATGATACCCGCTGACTTTACATTACCTACGAACAGGATCGACAGGTCTCTATAATCGCGATTATCTCGAAAACGGAAGCACTCTTATAACGGAAGAGTAAAAATTCGCTTCATTCATCTAAACGCGTATTATTGCGCCATCGATACCGTTAAAAACACCGCTGACAGATCTGCGAAAGTCGACTAATGAACGTGCATTCTTGCACGTAGCCGCGATCGATCGAGACTTTTAATCGCGAATCGAGACGGTTCTGCACTTGAGTTTTGACAAAGATATTAATTTGCTAACAATAAGTATATTCAAGATGTTTCATCATTATCACTCTATCTATAGATAATATAGTTCAATAAAAAATAGCCTTTTTTCGAACATCAGAAAAAGCCTAAAGGAATTTTTTTGTGTCGATTATTCCGCAACTATAATATTCTAAAATACGTTAAAATAGCCTTTTTGTAACTTCAACCGCAAATTTCTCAAAATTGTGACGTGATGGAATAATTTAAAAAACGGTATTGTATTCAGCATAAAAAAAAAACTATGGAAAAAGATTAGTCTTTTTCACGTGTGTTTTTTTTTTTTAACTGTGTAATAGATATTTTGATAGAGGATATAAAATAAAAAATAAATATGAAGATAGAATATAAAATAAAGAATATAAAAGAATTCTGAACTGTGCAATAGGTATTTCTACAGAATATAGAGTAAACAATAAAATTGAATATAGATAGAAATATAAATAGACAAGAGATAGATAAATAGAAATAGATAAAATAGAATTCGAGACGACTTTATTTATTGATTTCTCATTTATTCACATTTATAACGGAAGCTTGTTAAGTAGCGATCGTTTACTGTAATCTTAGAATTCACAATATTAAATTACGCTCCAAGAGTTCAAGGAAAATTCGCTTGAAATTACTGGAAAAGCAAAGTTTCCTCGCCTCGCATTCTTTCAGTCTAATTCAGCAAGGGAATAATTTCCGGTAGTAAATAACTCTATAATGATGCTTTCCATTAAGTTCAGCGAAGAAGTCGATTTCGACAAAGAATGTTATTAACGGGAAAGCATTAAAGAGAAACGTTTCTTTATACGTTGTATCGACCATGAGAAATCGGCAATGAAGCGCGATCGAAATCTCTACGCGTGAAATCATGCGTAATCATCAGAAGTAGGTGAGTTTTCCCCGGGAAGAAGTTACCGCCCTCCAACCGCACACATTTCCGTCCCGGAAGACGCGCATAAATCCGTAGCGAGCGAGAATCGTACGACCGTGGACGTTTATGCAAATTTAATTTCGTCCGTAACCGCTTCTCTACGATGTCGACGTGTCGGCATAGGCATGTGGCTAATCGATAAGGAAAATATATCTTTATATACACGTACGTACACACATCACGTATATGTCGCGCACGGTGTCCATACTCGAGAGCAGGCCACCAGCCCATTAACATCTGGCAAAAATGTCGGACATTCAGGGCGCTACTTATCACAAGCAATGACCCACAATGTACAGTTACACGTAGGCGAGCTCGCGGCTCTCGATTATCGCGCGTTCGCGGCCCCGGGAGAGAAAACGCAGATCGTGTCGAAGATGTGGGACGTGTGGTCACCTATATGGAGAACAGATGCCACGCCCGTCAAACGGAAACCGCGCGGAAAACCTTATACCGACCCCGACTCGAATCTTAATGAGCTTAATGGATCGTCTCTTGGCATCCTATACGCGCTCGGCGGCTTTCTTTCTCGCTTCGCTTCTCTCCACGTCATCTTTCTTTTTTCTCGCCTAATAACACGCGGGGGCGTCGAAATCGTGAGAAGGAAGACGCGCGGGAAGATATCTCCGGCGTGCAGCAACACGGTATGATTTCCATTTGCACGTAAAGTACTTCCTCGGTCAACGATGCGGTTTCACAGAGCTCCTCGCGGTCGTGGATGCTGCGACAGTTTCGCAATAATCGTGCGGTCTATATTAAGCTGCGTCACGATTTCGTTACGGTTTCCCGCGCCTCTCCCATGGCACCGTCACGTTTCGTGTCGCGCGCGGATCCGAATACGGAATGCGGAATACGGCCACGATTGAAGAGAACAGTGCTTTGTCCTTCTTATCGATCTAAATAATACAAAAGATGACAACCTAAGATAATTTTAATAATTGCAATTTACATAATATAATCATTTACATCTCATATATATGATATATAATAGAATATAATCTATATTATTAGGATGTTTTCAGATCATTTGCTTAATAGACTTTTATTAAGATGCGTATAAGTTTGCTGTAATATTGATTAAAGTGATCTAGATTGCTCATAAAAATTATGTCGGCGTAAAATCAAACATCGCATGTCTTTCTATTGAAAATAATCTAATAATTAAGACTACTTATTGTTGTTTTCCTCGCGCAAACGCGCCTACGGCATTGGTGATAGCCTCGGAATGTCGTTATGATAATATAATTTGCGAGTCTGCGACGAATCATTTTGCTTGATAAAGAGAGAGGGAATATGTGCGCTGATAATACCTACGTAATATACGAGATACATATTTCCCTTTCCGCGAGTTCGCGATTGCTTTCCACGCACAGTTTGAATTCCCGGGGATTTAAATCTCTCGCTTAATAACGACGGTATGGCGCATGCCGTGGGTTGATACACAGATTTATTGTTATTTGCGAAAGTACTATTTGTACACGTACGTTATTGCACGTGGTTATTGTATAATGAAACGAGATTAGAAAGTCAGCTGTTAACGAATATTTTGTTTAATTCAATTCGACGTTTAATGATCACTTGCATGTAAAATATATTCTTTTTCGCGGAGAGCAAAGGCGGGAATTAAAGAGAGAAAAGATGGAAGCGTTGAAGTAACTCACCGTTTTTATAATGTGCTTATAAAATATTAACTCTTGACCAATGCCGACTTCTACGAAGACGCGAACATTATTTATCCTTACTTATTAGCCTTTGTCTTCTCTGTTGTGAAATTCAATTGCACTGACTCACGCGTACTTTTCAAAACAAACGATTCGATTGTCGAGAACTTCCCGCGAGGGAGTTTTAAGTCTCGCGGTCTACGATAATTTCTCCCACTCGCTAATGATCAGCGCGCGAATAATAGTCGCGCGATACCGCTATGGTCTCTCTTTCTTCATCGTCGAGTCGGCGATGGATTTTTTCGTCGTTGCGTGGGTATCGTCGCGGCTAAACGTAATGTAATTGTCCACATTGTTACGCACACACAGAGTTATTTATAACGGTATCGGGTTGTTAATGCGCGGCGAACATCAACGGGTCGATATCAGATCTTGGAAACATTTTACGCGAGAACGATTACGCGAAAAAAATTGTAGGAAAAGGTTTTGTTCGTTCGTTCGTTCGTTAAAACACCTTCACCTCGGAAGGCAATGACACCGGTTATATACGATACGCTTATAGGAGACGACGCGTTCCGGTAACGGTATTATTTGCACACTGTCGGAGAATAGCAACGGATAGAATACCTGAATATGGTAAAATATGCATCAAGGAGCTAAATACGACTCGCTTTGTATTCGGCAAAAGACGAAAGAGATATAAAATATGATTGAAGCGATGTAAAATTCAGGATCCGAAATTGTGGGATCCGTGTTTCTTCTGAGATATATTTCGTAATGATTTTAAGAGAGTCAGTCGTTTTTTTGTTCTCGAAGAAGAAAGGCGGAAAAGTAAAATAGTAAAAATTGAAATACACGTTGTTTCTCAGCGTGAAATATAATTACGTCGCAGATTGATGCGAGTCTGCTTCTCGGGAAGATGCAAGGCTCTAATTAAACTCCGAGTACACAGGGGCGCAGATTGCAAACGAGCTCGTTAAGTGGTCTATCACACGTCGAAAATGACAAAGCAATTCTTCTTTAATTATCCCGGTACAAAAGCTCGTCGAGAATAGCGCATTGTACGCTCTCGAAGGCGTTTACTTTCGTTCCGCTTCTGAGAACCACCGATGGCGATTGTTTGCGGTTCGTTAAATCGGATCGATTCGCGTGGAAAACAGTCCTCTCTTCCCCGGGTATCGACCTCGATATCTCGGTTACGGAAAACGATTCGTTTAAGTCGCGATTACATAATCCTTTGTATCTTTCGTAACGCGCATCTATTCGAAAACATATAAGAGATTTTACGAGAAGCAGTATCTGTATATAACAATTTTTGTTACCGAGATAATACGTATTTCGCGAAATTAACCTACCGTTCGTTGGAGAGATAAGTTTCAACTGGCAGTCTATAAAGGATGTATCTGAATCCGCGGGCAATATACTCAATGATGTAAACAGAACATAAAACGGCAATTACATTTCGCGATTGTAGAAAGAGAATGAAACATTTTCAAGAGAGGAATATCGGTAACGTTAGCAAAGAGGACAATCTAATCCTGGCGCTAATGCTTTAATAATGCAAATAGGTTAACGTGAATACGAATTGCACGCAATTCTAATCGGAAAATAATCGTTTAATCGTGAGAATTGAGCCTGAATCAAGATCCAGCATCAGTTTCTTTTTGGTTTATAAATTTTGTAGCATCGGATAGTTCGTGCAATATTCTCATATAGAATATATCACG